GCCTTATGAATGTAAGGAATGTGGCAAAGGCTTTAGTCATGCCTCAAACCTCACTACACATAAAAGAACTCACAGTGGAGAGAGACCTTATGAATATAAGGAATGTGGGAAAACCTTTAGTCAGTCATCACACTTCACTAAACATAGAACTCACAGTGGAGAGGCCTTATGAATGTAAAGACAGCCTTTAGCTATTTCTCACATCTCACTTTACATATAAGAACTCACAGCAGAGAATGGGTTTATGAACGTCAGGAATATGAGAAAGTGTGGGTCATCCCTCACTGCACATACAGGAATTCACAGTGGAGGGACTATGTGTCAGAAGTGGCTCTTTCATTCTGACTGCTATAATTTCAAACAGCAGATTTCTGAAAGTCTGTGATTATAGAGCAAAGCAATAGTAACTCAAAGAAGGGATCATTAGAGCTACTTTGTACCTTTGGAAGAAATACCAGTTTCATTGTAACTTCAGGGCTGTCCTCATCAGTGTTTGTTGCTTTCTCAGTTCAAGCTAAATTTTACTTAAAGACATTGACTATTATTAGAAATAATGTTCAGGGAATACCCTTGAGCAACTGTTGGTTTATATTTTTCAATATCTTTATTGATTTTAATTTGCATACAATACAATAAAATACACTGATCTTGTATATTGGTTTTAGAGTGATTTCTTTTGTTTTCAAAATGTTTCCTTCCATGCTTTCATACTGTAAAGTTAACTTTTTCACCCTTTGTAAAGTAAGTTTTTTATAGGGTGATACTTTGAAACTGCAAATATTCTGGCTGGTTTTTTTTTTTTTTTTTTTGGGTCATACTTTAGCCTACTAATTTTAGTATTCATTGATAATTATTAACTACATTGATTATTACTGTGGTGTTTACCAAATGATATTTTCTATTCCAATCATTTTTCTGTTTATTAATTGGAATTCTGCAAAGAATAACTTTCCCTTCTCTTTCTTTATTAATTTGTTTATATCAGTATAGGCTGAACAATATTACTATATTTATTTTTCTTTTCTTGCTCAAATTTTCCCAGACATTTCTTAGAAGCACACCTAAAAGTAGGTTCGTTTATCTTTTTGACATATGCCTGTCATGATCTGTATACATTACTTTCTCTCAGTTTTCATGGCTCATCTTGTCCATTTCCTCCCTCAGTCCTGGAATCAGCCTTTACTCCAAGAAAACCTGGTTCCTTTTTTTAGAGAGTGATATTTAGAAACAAAAGTTTTGGGCATTCAATGTGCTTATAGTTACTAGGCCCTCAAAGTGAACAGAGTTAGGAAATAAAGACACAAGGACATATTTATACCTAATTCTATAAAAACCCAAACCAAACCAAACTCACTGCCGTCGAGTCATCTCCAACTGATAGCAGCCCCTTCTTGGGTTTCCAAGGTGGTATCTCTATAGAAGTAGATTGCCCAATCTTCCTTCCAAGGAGTGGCTGGTGGGTTTGAGCTGCCAGCCTCTGGTTAGCAGTCAGATGCCCTAGGCACTATGCCACCAGAACTCCTATATATGTATGTATATATGATGCTGTTATCATAAGGTTGGCCTTTTTTTGTGAATCATGTGAGTCATTCCATTGGATTATTGAACCTAACGGAGGTGTGGGAGCCAGCAGCTCAGAAATAAGGGGACTGGGGACCCCTGATCTTAAGGCTGGTATTCTACGAGGATTAGCAGGAGCCCCCAGACTTTTAGCTAGCAGGTCAGACGTTGGAAATTGTTTAGACTCCCCAACTTGGAGCTGGTGTCTGCCTATTAGGCAGTCTGAAGGACAGTGTCTAGCCCCAGGTGGCTATGTTAGAGGGAGAATTTTGTGTGGGCAGCTAGTGCCAACTGAACAAGGTCAGGAATCACATAAGAGATTTCCAAATGAAACAGTTGACATGTGAAGTGGGATTCTTAGTCTCCTTGGCACAGATAGTAACTCGCTGATGCCATGAAGCTCCATCTGACACTAAATCTGATGCCTCAACTACTTTACTACATGACTGGTGCATTGTTGGTGAAGGTTGGAAGATGGGTTGAAACAGACTGACGTCTCTGTACCTGATGTCAGTACATAGTAAGTATTCAACTAAATAATTTATCTTTATTTTTATTATTCAACTAAATAATTTTTAATGAATGAGTGACTGAATAAACTAATGCATGTAGAGGCAATCAGGCAGGAATTTTCTCAAATTCCTGCATTTCCCATTATAAAAGGGTCTCTGTTCCCACACCCATCTACACTTTATGGAAAAAGTCGGCCCTCTCCATCAGCTGTGGATCTTCTCCCTTCTTTTCTTGTCTAGTCCATCACACCATCTGTCATTTACTGTCACTTCAGCATCTTGAGTATTTTCTATCTCCTGGCTGTTTGCCCTCAGTATCAAATTTCTCCAAACTAGTGAACTCTCTTTTAGCTGTGTTTCAGCTCTTTCCATGATCTTCATGTTTGAGCTTTTTTGAAAAGGAGGACATCACCCATGTCCTTGGCTTCAGCCACCAACCTCACACGTCCATATCTCCAACAGAGATCTCTTTCCCAGGTTTAAGCCCCAAATAGCCTATAATCTTTACAACAGGCTCCTAAGAATTTATCTTGCCGTAATCTCATCCTTTAGCCATTTCTTCATTACTGTCAGTAGACTTTTGGTTTTTAAACTCAGCATCTGTTTATATTACTTGCCTGCTTACTTACTATTTCTCCCTCAGCTGTCTGGAATTCATTTCCCTCTCTGTTCCTTTAATTGTACAACAAGACTCCTCTGCAAGGCCACCACTTCTGTCATTACTCTTCTGTCATTACCCTACCTGCCATTTCTCTGTAGTATCCTGGTATCTTTCTTTAATCCCAATGTGTTGTTGGTGTTAGGTGCCATTGAGTTGGCCCTGACTCATAGTGACCCCTATGTACAACAGAAAGAAACACAGCTCTGTCATGCATCATCCTCACAATCCTTTATACTTGAGCTTGTAATTGCAGCCACCGTGTCAATCCATTTCATTGAAGATCTTCTCCTTTTTCACTGTCCCTTCACTTTAACAAACATGATATCCTTCTCTAGGAAATGGTCCCTTCTGACAATATGACCAAAATATGTGAGACAAAGTCTGGCCATTCTCACTTCCAAGGAGTATTCCAGCAGCACTTCTTCCATGACAGATTTGTTCACTTTTCCACCAGTCTGTGGTTGTTGTTATGTGCCGTTGAGTCAGACCCGACTCATAGCAACTCTTCCTTGGGTTTCTAAGGCGGTATCACTATGGAAGTAGATTGCCCCGCTTTCCTTCCAAGGAGCAGCTGGTGGGTTTGAACCACTGGTTAACAGTAAAGTGCCTTAGGCACTATGCTACTGGAGCTCCTGGTTCTTTTCAGCATTCTTTGCCAACACCATGACTCAAAAGCATCAACTCTTCTTCAGTCTTCCTTATTCATCGTCCAGCTTTCACATGTGTGTGATGCTATTGAAAATACCATGACTTGGGTTAGGTGCTCCTTAGTCTTCAAAGTGACATCTTTGGTCTTCAACACTTTAAAGAGGTCTTTTGCAGCAGATATGCCCAGTGCAATACGATGTCTGATTTCCTGACTGCTGCTTCCATGGGTGTAGATTGTGGATCCAAGTAATATAACATTGGTTATACTCTTTCTTGCTCATTATAAATTGAGCCTCTTGGGATAGAGCTTATTCTTGTTTCCCTCTGCTCTCTGTGCCTGTCACACAGAAGACCCACAAACAAGAAAAGCAAAGAATGGATAGATGAACTAATAATCACATATGACACATTAGGTTCATCTTGTATCACTAGCACAATGAACAGGGCCTATCGCAGCACAAGCAGGCTTTTATGAATGTTGGGTGAGTGAAATTTTTTTAAAAAATGGAGAAATTGAGTTGTCAGAAGATTAGTAAGTGGAATGAAAAAAGAGGTCTTGCAGATGACTGCTAGATACCTTTCTCAGAAATAGATTTTTTTTTTTTTTTTAATCCTTCTTTCTTAACATCTACACCACTATTCCAGAGTGGTTTCAGAGATGTGGACCACTAGATGGATGTGCAGCCAGCCTGGATCAGAGTAAAATTAAATGGAAAAATACGATCCTTTTTTTTTTTTCCTTACAAAATTTTATTGTGGTTTGAGTGAAAATTTACAGAGCAAATTAGTTTCCCATTCAACAATTTATACACATTTTTTATGTGACATTAGTTTCAATCCCGTCAATGTAAGATCACTCTTCCCACTTTCTCCCTGGGTTCCCTGTTCCCATTCACCAATCTTTTCTGCCTTCTGAAATTTGTTTTTGGGCAAACACTGCCCTCTTGATCTTGTATGCTGGGGAGCATGTTCTTCCCTGGTGTTACTGTTTACTTTATAGACCTGTCTATTGTTTGGCTAGGGTGGTGTAATGCATAAGACATTTGGCTGCTAACCAGAAGTTTAGCGATTCAAACCCACCAGCCACTCTGCAATCTACTTCCATAAAAATTTACAGCCTCAGAAACCCAATGGGGTTGCTATGAGTCAGAATTGACTCAATGACAATGAGTGTGGTGAGATTTTTATTGTTTGGCTAAAAGGTGATGTCCATGAGTGGGTTCATTTCAAGGTTTGAAGGGTGTAAAAGCTGTCTTTTTGGATAAAGAGAATCCTAGGAAAACAATGGTGGGCTTCTTGGTGTTTATCACGGCTGATTCTTGTCAAATGACTGGCATTTATTTTCTAAGAGAAAGTAATTCTTTAAATGTTTTACTCTTAAAGCAGACTTCTTTATCTAAAAAGCCCTCCCATCAAACCTGTATCTTTCTCATAGGCACACAAAAAATAGAATCCCCTTTCCATATGAAATTCTTAAAATAGTTAAATATTGTGACAGGTATTCCCCAGGTCTTATACTTTCTAGGCTAAATATCTCTATTTCCATACCTTTAAATGTTTGACCTTCTAGTCCCTTGGCTTTTTATCTACACTTTTCAAAAACAATATTCTTATAGGATTAATGCTAATGTCCAAAATTAGGATATGCTCATTAAATAATACAGTCAAACTATCTTACTGGTTTTCAGAGCAATGTAAGTCTTTGGATACAGACCAAGCTTATGTGACCAAGCCTTTTTTGATTTAGGGTGTGATAGTTGAAGATGTGTCAACTTGGCTGGACTCCAGTTGTGAGTGGTGGTTCCCATGA